GCAGGCTTTCCCTAGTCTCACGCAGCCAGACTAAGGTTTCCCATAAAGCATATAAAGTGAGCTTCATATAAGCTGGCAAGCACTATAGAAAAAGCATTTGGAGCAATTTTAAAAATCAATAAAAAATCCCGATTTAATTGGAATTATTCTTCACAACATGAGTGTTCAAGCTATACCTAACCATTTTTGTTGAAATTACAAAATTCCTATATTAGCAAAGAATGCACATGGTTGGCCTGTTTTTTGAGTATAAAAAATTCATATCTTAACATACTGATGTAGTGCTGCCATTATAGGAGTTACCGTATAGTAGAAAATTTTTGTGGATTTCGCGTTTCTTTAAATCCACGAAAATAAAATCAGCAAAAATTGATTTAATACGGTTCAAGATGGCCAAAAAGTAGAAAACCATGGAAATTAAGCCACAAAATTGATTTTTGAACGGATCCGCGAAATGTTTGGGCCACGAAAACTTTCCGCTATACGGTAATCTAAAACTGTATACAAAGAATGCTTCTTGTAGTGTCACTGGATCCATTTATGCTTTATTGACTAGAGGATTTTATTGAATTTTGACAATGCAGCAATAATCACACAAGCAGAATTAAAAATTAATAAAAACTACAACAATCTTCTATAATTGTCTAATAGTGTTTGTGCTAGACTGTCAGTTATTATTGTATCCTCTTGTTTAATTATTTCTACAAACAAATGAAATACTTGGCCATTCACTTGAATGGATGCTTTAACTAAACTAAGTAACTTGTCCATTCTCTGATCAGCAGTCAATCCACAGTGCTGATCAGTAATTTGATTCTTCTGCCTTCCATTTATTATCCTCTTCTCAAGTAGCTTATCTACTAATGTATTTAGATCAAGCAGCTCCTTTATCATTCCAGTACATTCTGTCATTACTCTATGAGCAATATCAGATCTAAATGTACCTATTCATGATACAAAATCTGTCAGTGATTAGTGTGTTATTATGTTAATATCAACCATACCTTCTTCAGTCTCTCTCCTGGTTTGACTGATACTAGCAGTAGAGGAGCTTGAGCTAGTACTCTCTACTACACAAATAATTAAGTAATAGTTACAGATCAATCATCACAAACTAACTCATTGATAAAAGAGTAGGTATTCTGTTGATGTAAATTATTATTGAAGGATCTATTCCAGTTAATTCAATGGGACAATGAAGCGGATCCTTAGCAATACCAGGTTTAGCATACACTGATATGTGGATACTGGAACACATAGGATTGTCTGTAAACTTGTCCACTACATATTGACGTATCTAAAATAATAGGTAACAGTCATACTGTGTATTATACACATGTACACTGTACATACTTGCATTGGGGATTGGTCAGGATGTACAGTCCATCCTGATTCAAGTGATGGAGTATCTTGTAGACACAGCTGAAGGATACCATCAGGTTGATTGTACTTGAATATGACAAATGGTCCATCTTGCTCAGCTTTAGAATGTTTATTTTCTAAATACTAAAATTCCAATAAATGATGCTCTTCAGTCATAAAATACATTATGTACTTGCTGAAGGACTTCTAAATCTCTAACAACAGAAAATGTAGTCATCCATTGATTAACTTTCTTCTCTTCATGATACATCATTCCAGTGTACAGTAGAGTGACTCCTGTATAAGAATTATAAATTAAAACATAATATCTGTGACATATACCTTTGTCTTCATTTGGTTTTTGTTTCACTTCATCTTCAGTTGATTCATTGCTAACATTAGATGCACCTAATAATACAAAACCTCATTATGAATGTACTTAATAAATTATACAATGCATACATACCAGAAAATAACACAACTTCTTGTACTTTTTGATTAGAGTCATCAGTTACTGATTCTGTTATGAAAATGAAACTTTATACAACACAGTTAAAGTCACACGTACCTTGAGATAGTCCAGTATTTATTGGTGAGGTAGTTCTCTCACTAGTCTCTCCTGCTCCATTACCACTATCATTATGTGTCTCCTCAGTTGATTCTATTATTGTACATTATTAATAATAAAACACTATTTCCATCATACATGTACCTTCAGGTGGTGTCTCATAACCTTCCTCACTCTCACTGTCACTAGGTGTGTCTCCATTACTCATCTCAGCTATAATACCCATACAACAGAACTGCTCACGCTTTATTGATCCATATCTTTTCCCAACTCTAAAAGATCCTCCTTCAACTATACTGAACTGGTAAGGATGCTTCAGTGGAGCTCTCACAAACTTGAGGCAACCAGTCTGACTAGTGTTCCTTAGATCCACACAATGTTGTAGCTCTATTACCAGTGGTTTTAATAGTGCCTTAGATACTGATATTGCATATACTGCACTCACTAGCACAGTACCTTTGGGTACCTTGAAATTACCACCAGCTAGTGCAGTAACAGCTACTTCGGTATCCTTGGACACTGCTCCTTGATGACACTCTAATCTGAATCCATATTTCTCCCACTGGAGTGAGTCAGACCTGTCTCCTTGTAGGATAAAGAGCTTCTGTCCAGCTATAATGACACTAGAGTCTAGTGAATCTGAAACAATACAGACACATCATATCTAATACCAGTATAGTACATACACAATCATTCACATGTGTAAATGTACATGTACATGCATAATTTACCCATTGAAGGGATCAGGTAATTAAATTGTAGTCCAATGGAACTAGTCTCTTTGATAGGTTGCTTGAGGACCCTCTCTTGTCTTTCCTTCACTAGTTTGGCTATGTACAATTCCTTTTCTTTAAGGTCTATAAATTAATAGAATATTAATAATTATTATTGATTGATGATGATGGATACACTAACCAGTAATGATCTGTTTCTCATTCTGTGATTGTTCCTCTACTTGTGATGTCAGTTTGGCTATAACTTTGTCTTTGTCGGAAATGTCAGTTTTAAGAATTTGAACATCGTCTACACCATAAACATATTCTTTCATCCAATGCATGCTGTGTGTATAGTTAACTAACAAATAATGATCTGTTTTTCCTTGAGATATTGTTCCTCCTTCTCCTCCATATCAGCAACCTTGAATTTAAGTTTCTCATTATCTTCTACATTAAAAGAATATTCTTTCATCTAATATTATGTTCTGATGATACACTAACCAGTAATAATCTGATTCTTCTCCTCTACTTGTGTCTTTTCTTCCAATATTTTAGCTACTTTAACTTTGAGCTTCTCATAATCTTCTATTAATCAAAAAAAATACAAAGGTAAAAATAAAATAAAATTTGTTGCTTAAACAAATTTGCACTGCATGCAGTACAGTAGCCCATAAATACATGTACTATGATTATTGCTAATGATACCATATATGGTAAGCATGCAGAGCTCACTCTACATCAATCTTATTATTTCTAATGCATGGACAATTTGACCTATATTGAGTACAGGATACTATTTCCATATTCAACATTCTCTAATCCACTAGTATTATAATGTAAACAATGTACACATAAACAACAGTACAACACAATAGTACCTAATTCAACAGTTGATTTATCCTTTTCTGCTTGCTCAAGGAGAGTGGTAGCATCATCAAGTTGCTGACTAAGTGTTGCCATTTCTTGAAGAAGCTGTTGCTGCTCTTTGTCTCGATCTTGCTGAATCTGCTCCTTCTCTTTTATTTCTTTTTGAAGCTGTTCCTCATAGAAGTCTCTTTCCCTTTGTAATTGCAGACGATCTTGAAATATTTGAAGCTGTTTTTCTGTTCCTGAATTCTTCCAATCACTCAGTACCCTTTTTTTTAGTTGATCTTGATACTGGTCCAGAGGTATTACACTAGTAGACCAATCATTATCAATAGTATATCCTATACAGTAACAAAATAGTCGAGAATAAGAAAGATACCGTATAGCGGAAAATTTTCGTGGCCCAAAATTTACATGAATTTCACGTTTTTTTCAAAACCCACAAAAATAAAATCCGCAAAAATCGATTTTTATACGGTTTAAGATGGCCGAATTGTAGAAAACCACGAAAATTAAAGCCACAAAATTGATTTTT